GGGGCTGCCACTGACTCCCACCTCGCTGCTTCTCCCCAGACTGCCCCGTGGACCTGTTCTTCGTCCTGGACACATCAGAGAGCGTCGCCCTGAGGGTGAAGCCCTTTGGGGACCTGGTTGCCCAAGTGAAAGACTTCACCAACCGGTTCATTGACAAGTTGACAGACAGGTATATCTCCTGGTTTGATTTTTTTAGTGTCCGGGCTGCTTTAGGGATGGAAACTGGTGCTGGGTGGGATGCTGGGACCATGCTGTGTGCCCATCTGCAGAGGGAGAGGAAGGAAGCAGAGACGCCAGGAAGGGGGTGGGAGCATCTCCTCCCTCTCACAGCCCGTGGCTGTCCCATTTTTGTTCCGTCCATGCCGAGAGCAGCAGCGTGCCTTTAGCAGGGCTGCCTGCACTCCCCTTGGGAAAGCAAGGGCTTCCCGGAGCAGTAGATGTGTCACCCCACCTCTGGCTGGAGGGCTGCTTCTTCTGTAGGGCCAACGTAATGCTGGTCCCCAGGCTACCAGGTGCTCAGGCTCAGGGCAACTTGGGTGCTTGCTGGGTGACAGTAGGGCACCTCTGATGTTAAAGCCAGAACTTATGGGCACCCCACAGAGAAAACCCTCCTGGCTTACCCCTGCAGCACTGAACCTAGCTTTGGGTGCCCCTTATCCACCTCACTGCCCAGCAATTTACCTGTCTCCTCGCCTACCCTTGCCACCTCCAGCCTAGGTCTGATCCTAGATTTTCCAGGGTGAGGGCACTCCGGGACACCAAAGCTCCCAGAGCAGGGTGATGCTGGAAGGTACTGAAGGCAAAGGCCATGGCTTGCCTGCTGGCAGGAGATCCTGCGATGCACAGGAATACCATGAGTCCTGGTGGTAATGGGAGATGCGTGCCGGCGCCCAGAGGCGCACTGTGAGGATGTCCCAGTACCGCATGAGTTAGATCTCAAGACAGGTCGGAGGTGGTTAGCAGCTCACCTACTCATTGCCCAGGCAGCAGAGCTACCTTACAAGGCACTGAGTGACCAGGAGCCTCATGTTTGGGAGCAACCTGCCAGGCCTCCATCAATGCAGCGCAACTCTCTTGTAAGCAAGGCACTGGACTTTCCCCAGACCCCCTGCTGTGTGCAGACAGACGGACCTCCCGAGCACATCCCAAACCCTCCTGTGCCCACCGTGCTCTGGAGACGTCTCCCTGCAAGCCAGCGCTATGCATGACAGGCTGCTAGGCACCCGCAGCATGCATAGGGTGGCTGACACGGGTGATGATGAGGCAGCTAACAGCAGTGGGGTGAAGGCCAGAGCAGCAGGCAATGCTCAGGTAGCTTTGGGAATAATCCTGTCGAGCAGAGAGAAGATTAGCTTGGGTGAGTGAGAGAGCTGTGCAACTCCATCCTTTTGGAATTGGTCTCAGCGTCCTGAAAAGATGGGGCATTGGCCAAAGCACGGGGAGCCATGATGTCCGTGACCCAGGGAGTCACAGGTGCAGGCTGTGCCAGTGGATGGAATGGGGCTTCAACACAAATTCGTTCTTCTCCAAGTCAGAGCATCCTTCAGAGAGAGGCATCCCTCTTTGGTTTTAACACAAACTTACTACAGTTCCTGGTGGGGTGTTTCACAGTCACCTGTCTTGCACACACCCCCCTGTCTGTCTGGCCGGGCATCTCCTGCTCAGCGCCAGCCACTGCAGCCTGGTACCTCTTTGAGAAGCCAAACTGCCTGACCCCTGTGGACCCTCGCCAGCTGCACCACTTTATAACAAACTGCCCAGCTCCCATGGCTGCACTTAGCACACCTCAGCCTTGCAGGAGAGCAGGGGACCCTTGCAAAACCCTGCTGTGTGTGGCAGAGGATTTGCGTTTCGTGTGGCAGCCCAGCGTAAGTGACGTGGAGGCGATGCCAGGATGTGGACAGAGGTGCTGAAATCATGTGTCCTGGTGTGTCCATGCAGGTACTACCGCTGCGACCGCAATCTGGTGTGGAACGCGGGGGCACTGCACTACAGCGACGAGGTCGTGCTCATCAAGAGCCTCACCTCAATGCCCAGCGGCCGGAATGAGCTGAAGAGCCGCGTCTCGTCTGTGAACTATATTGGGAAGGGAACGTACACTGACTGTGCCATAAAGAGAGGCATTGAGGAGCTACTCATCAGGTAAAGCAGCAGGGCCAGGGCAGGTGAGGAGGTGATGCTGGTGGTGTGGCTGTGGTGGATGGTGGTTGGGAGATTCTGGGTTAGGACGTCCCTGTGCATTGCACCGGGCCGTCCCAGGATGGGAGAGAAGGTCACCTAGGCACAAAACAGGCACGGGGGAGGCAGGTTGCGAGTGCTCTGGCTTTGCTGGGGTGGGACATGCTCCAATCACAGGCTGGGGTGCTGCCTGGGATGAGTGCTCAGAGGTGCCCAAGCCAGCTAAATCTGTTAAATCCTCGAAACATCAAACATTTTGCTTTTCCAGTGGCTCCCATCACAAGGAGAATAAATACCTGATCGTAGTGACGGATGGACACCCCCTGGAAGGGTACAAGGAACCCTGCGGAGGCCTGGACGATGCTGCCAATGAAGCCAAACATTTGGGGATCAAAGTGTTCTCCGTTGCCATCTCCCCCAACCACCTGGTAGGGACCATGCAGCAGGGATGTTCCCTGCAAGGATGCAAAGTGGCACCACGGGACCTCCCGTGCGGTGAAGGGGTCTCTGAGGGGCACCCCTTGGAGGGAGGACGCAGGTCCCCAGGGTGGTCTCCAGGGATGGGTCCTGCACAGGTGCCCACACAACTTCCTCTTCCCTCCCAACCCTAGGACCAGCGGCTCAACATCATTGCCACAGACCATGCCTACCGCCGCAACTTCACTGCCACCAGCCTGAAGCCAACCCGGGAGCTTGACGTGGAGGAAACCATTAATACCATCATTGACATGATTGTGAGTGCTGCCTCCCCCTTCCCAGCCTGGCCCCTCCCCTGCCTGGCTCACCCATCCCTCTCAAACCCTCTCTCTTTGCTTTCTTGTCTTGCAGAAACTCAACACAGAGCAATCGGTGAGTGTCCCCAGGACCCTCACTCCCCCCACCCTGATCCTGTGCCTCAGCCCATCCCCTGAGGGTCACCCACAGCCAAGCGGGGCAGCCTCTGCCTGGCTCCTGCCAGCCTGGGGCGCTCCCCTGGTGCTGCCCGCTGCCTCTAATGTTGTTTTCTCCTTCCTTCTGGGCAGTGCTGCTCCTTCGAGTGCCAGGTGAGTTGAGATTTTGAGACCACCCATCCCCTTCCCTCGCATCACCATGGCCCCAGGTGTGCTTTGGTGGCTGGTCTAACTCACACCTCTTTCTTGCAGCCTCCCCGAGGGCCTCCCGGACCTCCTGGTGACCCAGGCAATGAGGTGAGGGACCGACTGCAACCATGCTCTTGGGACTGGGGTGTGGGATGGATTCACGGGTGATGCTCAGAAGTGAGTGGGGTGCAGGTGCTACGCACCCCACCACTGCCCCGTGGAGAAGTGGATGAAGACCCACACCACGCTCCCATGCGGTCGTCATCATCTGTTCCCCACATTTACTGGGCATTGCTGCTACCATCCTCCCTGCTGAAACAGCTCATCGTTCGACTCCTGGGGATGATGAGCTAACTTTATTTCTGTCCTGTATTGCAGGGAGAAAGAGGCAAGCCAGGTCTTCCCGGCGAGAAAGGAGGAGCTGGAGAGCCAGTAAGTAAAGAACTGTCCTGGTGACTGTAGAAAAGCTATTTTTTGGCCACTTATGGCCAGACCTTTTGGGTGCATCCTCACCAGCATCACCCTGTTTCCATGGCATAGTCAATGGTATCACGGCCAGCTGTCCCCCTCCACAACCATCCTGCCAAGTAGTGGCTCCTGGCCCCCTCCTCTGTCGCTACAAGGCTTCCTTGTTCCTCACCCAAAATAGCTATTCCTCCTGGAGGATACATCTCTGACTCATGTATGCCAGCCCAAGGGTGGACTCTGGGCTCTCCCTCCTGTGTCCTCTGACATAACAAGCACATCAGTGTTACAGGGAAACCTTTGGTAAATAATAAGCTAACTGCATGAGGAAAGTATTTCCCTCCTCCTCCCATTTTTTTTTACTAGGTACACTTATTTTTGGGAGGCGCATTTTTTCTACACACGTGAATGTGCACTTACTCAGCTTGTACTCTCCCAATTTGGAAACCTGATGTCATATTGTCATGGTTTGACCCTGGCTGGCAGCCAGGTACCCACACAGCCGCTCTCTCATCCCCCCTTCTCCACTAGACCAGGGGAGAAAATATTTCAAAGGGCTCAGGGTTTGAGATAAGGACAGGGAGATCACTTTCATTTATTGTCCCAGGCAAAACAGACTTGATTTTGGGGAAATTAATTACATTTATTAAGAGAACAAATCAGAGAGGAGTCGTGAGAACTAAGAAAAAGCAAACAGATCTTAAAAGCAGAACACCCCCATCCCTCCCTTCTTCCCGGGCTCAACATCAGTCCCGGTTTCTCCACCTCCTCCTCCCGAGCGGCGCAGGGGGACAGGGAATGGGAGTTACAGTCAGTTCATCCGATGTTGGTTCCACCACTTCTTCTTCACTCCAGAGCAGGACTTTGCACTCTTCCCCAGGGTCACTGTGGGATTCCTCTCATGGGAGACAAGCCTCACGCTCTCTTCTCTGGCATGGGTCGTCCTATGAAGGGCAACTCATCACAAACCGCCCAACGTGAGACACCTCACGAAGGGCAGCCCACCCCTCGTGAGTCTGAGGTGCAGTCCTTCCAGGGAAACTGCTCCGGCGTGAGTCTCCCGCAGCATCACAAAAGTCCCACCAGCCAACCTGCTCCAGCGTGGGCATTCAATCCTCCACGGGCTACAGGCTCTGACAGCGACCTGCTCCAATGTGGGCTTCCCATGGGCTGCAGCCCCCGTCAGGAATCCACCCCAAT